AAAAAAAAAAAAGACTGCACTGTAGTTAAGAGATGTGTTCAAATCCCATCTTCATATCTTTTGTGGCTATGGGCATAATTCCTTATCAGTAAAATGGGATAAATAACAGAATCAAGCTCATAGATTGCTAGAAAGATCAAATGAGTTACTGCATACAAACCCTTCAGTGAAATGAGCTTCCTTGTGTGTGCTACTCAGTGTACAAGTCAAGAGCTTCTCTGGGCTAGGGATTCTCATCTTTAGCTACCATTAGCATCACCTGGAGGACTCGTTAAAACCTGTAGTACTGGGCCCAACTCCCAGAGTTTCTGTCTCTGTAGGCCTGGGTGAGGCCTGAAAAATGCACATTTCTGACAAGTTCTTAAGTAATGCCCAGGGACACTTTGACAATTACTACTCTAAGGCGTATACTGTCAAACTGCTCTTCAGAGTGGTTACACCAATTTACACTCCCACCATAATCTTTTAAAAACATCACACTGTTTCTGACTGACCGTCTACACAAAGGAAAGGGTCTAGAAGTCCCTAATAAGGACTCCCATACGTATCTACCATCTAAAATGTATCTACTATCTCTAAACCACTTGGTACTATCGAGACACATTTTCCATCTATTCTAGAAAACAGGGTATAAGTTACCTTTTATTTGTCAAATACAGATAATTTCTGACAAAATTAAGATGGCACATAAAAGATACACTATGAGAAACTCCAAAATAAATATTAGAAAGCAAGTAAAGTGGAGAATGCTGCCGTATCCCAAGGTATAGTTTCTTCTCTTCTAATTGTAAAAAACAGTATTATGAAACATGTAACTACTATTTTATAAATTAAGCTTTAGAATCTAAATTCTTCTACCTTTTTCCCCTACTTTTTTCTAAGGGAACATTATAACACACAAATATCATATATGGTAGATAAGCCACTTGATTCAGTATCACCTCCTCCTCCCTTATATTTCTGAGGACTTAATGGATCTTAATTAAGCCTTTCAGCACTTGGGGGAGTTTAGTGTTACTGCAATCATCTGCAGAGAGTAACCCATGACCAGCCCAGGAACATGAGTTGCCTACAGTTCATAATGAGTTGACAACAAAAATCAGGATCACAACTTTATATTCGGCAAATCTAGCTCTGAATATTTTAAATTATTCTCATGCACTAATTTAGGATTCTATTCCAGTTAACTTATCCTGAAAGATGATTAAAACAAATTTTAAGGTCATATAAAAAAACCTATGCTTATTCCTTGAATAACTTTCCTAAACCTTATACAGTTGGCTCTTCATACCCGTGGGTTCTGCACCCATGGATTCAACCAATCACAGATGGAAAACATTCAGGAAAAAAAAAATCCACAAAGTTCCAAAAAGCAAAAGTTGAATTTGCCACCATGTGTCAAGTACATTGAAGGCAGGTGAACGACGTGATTTGTAAGCCCTGTATTAGGTATTACCAGTCATCTAGAGATGCTAAAATATGAAGGAGGATATGCATAGGTTATATGCTAATACTAGGCCATTTTATATCAGAGTTGGGTACTGAAACTAATCCCCATGGACACCAAGGGATGACTGTATTCCATACTGAATTATTAATCTAGGAGGGCAACTGCCTCATTTTACTGACAGAAAACTTAGGTCTGGTGGGGTTAAAAGATTTCTCCAAGAGAAGTAGTGGCAAACTGGGTGAGGATCCAGTACCAGGATTCATCCAGTGCTCTTTCCATAACTCTGTGATGCCTCTCTGCTTCCACATTCCTGTTCTTCATCCCCATTCATCACATCCTTCTCAATAATTCTTCACCTATGCAAAGAAAAGACTAACTTTGGGGAAATTTTCCTGGTTAACAAAATACCACTTGTTCTCCAAGGAGGTTGTTCCACTTAGGTTGTAAGAAGGCGGGCTGTTTGCTACTTAAGGTTAAGAAAGTAAAAATAAAAGCATCCTTACTCAAAGGAAAAATGTCAATTCAGAAGAGTCTGCTACTGTGCTGATCTGGTTCTTCAACGAAAGGTGAACTATGAACTTGTCTCAGCAGTACTGTTATTTGTTGTTCAGAGTGAAAAGCCAGTGAACTCTTGGGAGACTGCCAGAGAGGCCTGGGAAAAAAAGAAAGTGCTCAGATTTGTGAATAGCTGTTTGTATCTTACTGGGAATGCCCCGACCTGAACTGCATAGATAACATTAGCACGACTGCCAGGGAGGAAAATCTTTACTGGAGAGAAAGGGGTATTGCTTAAAGAGACTTTCAAAGGAGAGATTTGTGAGTATATTTTAAGAGAGGAAAAAAGAGAAAGTCACATGTGGGCTCTTCTAAAATTGTCACAAGGAGAGACTACTTGAATTGCAAAGAGTGAAATTTTAATCACAAAGACCACAGCCCTATCTAGTATTCAAATACTCAACCATTTACCAGAACTTTTCCATTCCAAATGACCAGGAGGTTGAACTCTTCTAAATAGTCAATGCTTAAGGATGAAGAAGAAACACTGAACACTAGAGCTGGATGAAACCTTACTTATTATCTACCTGTTAGACTCTGGGCTCTTCGAGGACAAGCAAGAGCTTGTCCTTTTTAAAAATTCCTTTGGCATACACAGAGAAGAAACAGTTGCCTTTTGAATAAAGAAATAAATGACTCAATCTGTGGATTTCAAACACTAGCGGCCCAAACATTTGCTTATAGCAGGGCAGAGGCAAAACTAGTAAACCAGGTTTTTCAACTCCTAGCTCAGGGATCTTTTATACCACTGGGGGTTTTTCTATTCACACAAAAAATTAATAAAGCTACAATATGGTTATGGTTGAACTATGTGAATATAGTAAAAACCATTGAATTGTACACTTTAAATGGTTGAACTGTTTGGTAGGTGAATTTTATTTCAATAAAGTTATTACTAAAAAATAGGCCACACAAGGGGTCTCATGCTTGCAATCCTAGCACTTTGAGAGGCTGAGGCAGGTGGATCTCTTCAGTCCGAGGTTGAGGCAGGTGGATCCCTTCAGCCTACAAATTCAAGACTGGGCAACACAGCAAAACCCCATCTTCACAAAAAAATATAAACATTAGCTGGGCATGGTGGCATGTGCCTATAGTTCCAGCTACTCAGGAGGCTGAGATGGGAGGATTGCCTGAGACCGGGAGATTGAGGCTCCTGTAAACCATGTTCATGCTACTCCACTTTGGCCTGGGTGGCAAAGCAACACCCTGTTTTAGAAATAAAGATAAAATAAAATAAAGCTACATTACTAAAAGGCAAAATATATTACAATGAATGCATTAAAATAAATCAAAATCCTCTTAACAAGGTGGCAAAAAAACCACTGCATGTCAATATAAATGCCTTAAAAACTCAAGCACAATTATCTATACACTAAAAACAATGTAAAATACAAAAATCCAAAATTACATTAACTAGGGAAATAACTATTAATTATTACTTTAGAGGTTTCTTGGCTTAAAAAAAAGATTGGTCACAATGCTATATTAAGCACTTTAAATTCCATGGTTTCTTACTTGGGAAAATATTAGACTTAAGTTGCTAATGACTGAGAAATTCTATTTCGATTTGTAAGATACAAGAGAATTCCGGAGCTTTAGACAACATAATTTAATGTGACTCCTTTTAAAACACATAAATATAAAGAATTCATACTCATATTCTGATAATTCTTTCTTAAGATATTTACCCAACTTTATCATCCAAAATACTACCCCTTTCATTAGATTTGTTCAAGTCTGATTAATATTTGCTGCCACCTAGAGGTACAAATAGTTTGTTTAAAAATCATTTTTCTGCTTAACAGTGATTTCCACTTGTGGAAAATCGGGAGCAGGGGGGACGAGAGAGTTAATTTGCCTGTTTATCATTTTCAATTTAAAAAAATGTATATGTTCAACACATTCAAATGATTTTATGATACCCTAATTTTCTTGTGCTAGAAGCATAAAAAGCCTTAGGGATACTCATTGCTGTCAGTAACATTTTCTTCTCCAAGTCAGCTGAGAAATGTAGAGTTTTGCATGATATGAGCATGGCTGCTACTACTTGTCTTGCTGTTTTTGTTTTATAAGAATATAACAGTTAGATTAAACCTGAGGTCATTTCCAGTGCTTATATTCTGAGATATCATGGCATTTCAAGTTCTTAAAGCCTTAAAAAATTTTTTTAAATATTCTAAGCATAAAGTATAATACAAAGAATAATACAACATTTTAACATTCAATTTCATTTCTATTTCAAAATAACTGAGATAAGCAAAGGCACAGAGAGAAGAGAAAGACCATTTTCTGAGTGTCTATCAGGGATATCAAAACACTTGCGCTTTTCCTAGCAAGTGTTTGTGTTTGTTTCCTGTTTCTACTAAAGCCCAGGGAAAGGCCGAGTCCCTACTCTGCTTCGAATATTCTTCCTCCTTTTTTTTTTTTTTTTTTTTTTGAGACAGAGTCTCGCTTTGTCACCTAGGCTGGAGTGCAAAGTGCAGTGGCATGAGCTTGGTTTACTGCAACCTCTGCCTCCCAGGTTCTAGTGATTCTCGTGCCTCAGCCTCCCAAGTAGTTGGGATTACAGGTGCACGCTACAATGCCCAGCTAATTATTATATTTTTAGTAGAGATGGGGTTTTGCCATGTTGTCCAGGCTGTTCTCAAACTCCTGGCCTCAAGTGATCTGTCTGCCTCAGCCTCCCACAGTGCTGGGATTACAGACATGAGCCATTGCACCCAGCTCTGCTTCCAACTTTAAATACCTTTGTGGACCTTTATTCTACAGATAAATTAACTGAAATTCAGAAAGATAAAGCAAGATGCCCAAGTTTATGTAACAACTAGTAGGTGGCAGGACTGAATATGACCCAAGGCTTCTAATTTGATGCCCATTATTCTTCTCATCAAGCTACATACTTTGTTTTTGTTTGTTTGTTTGTTTTCAGACACAGTCTTGTTTTGTCACCCAGGCTGGAGTGCAGTGGCATGATCTCAGCTGTCTGCAACCTTTGTTTCCCGGGTTCAAGTGGTTCTCCTGCCTCAGCCTCCGAAGTAGCTGGGATTACCAGTGTGCACCACCCTCCCTGGCTAATTTTTGTATTTTTAGTAGAGATGGAGTTTCACCATGATGACCAAACTGGTCTTGAACTCCTGACCTCAAGTGATCTACCTGCCTCAGCCTCCCAAAGTGCTGGAATTACAGGCATAAGCCACTGTGCCTGGCCCATATTTTGTAAAACAAGCAAACAAACAATAACAACAAAAATTCTGGAAATAAAATATTTACAAATTTCCAATTGCTTAATTATGAGCTTTACTAGTCATCTAACATCCAACTTAGAAGTGAGAAATTTATCTATATAGATATGAAATCTCAGTAAGCCTATCATTTCTAGACTTTTAAAAATGTTTTTAATTAAGTAAAAGTTAGTGACAGTGAAGTGCACACATCTTAAGGACACAGTTTGATAAATTTGTACACGCATATACTGTACTTACATAAACCCTGCCCGGATCAAGTATTTCTGGACATTTTAAGGAGCTACACTATGAAACTGTAAGCTCAAGTGAAAGGCAGGAGGATCCTGACAGCCCATGCACATCAGTAAAGAGATGTTTATAATAGAAATCAGTGAGCTAAGGCTATAGAAATCTCTCATTTTCCCCATAGATAGCTACAGAAGGAGAAGCAGCAATTCACTATTGGGGGAGACACTCAAGAACAATCTGTCGCCCTCTTGTGGAGCCTGGGGTCCTCTGACGCACAATGAAAATCTTCCTTATAGTAAGAAGTATGAGATTAGCAACTGTGACTATTTAACATACTTCTGAAACTATGAAAAGACCCTTTCTCAGAACACAGAAAAAAAAAGAAGAAAGCTGATATAGCAAATACTTGTTAAAAGTTCTCTCCCACTTTTTTTTCCCTGTTTTGTGTTTGCTTCCTGTTTCTACTAAAGCCAGGGAAAGGCCTAGTCCCTACAGCCTCCTCTAGCTGTGTCCCAAATGAGCTAAGAAAGTAGAGAAGGCATCGCCACTGGCCTCAGAAAGAGAATAAAAGGGATGGGGAATACCAGCCCTTTGGATTGACTACTTTGGTGCATTCATTTACTCAGCAGTTACTGAAGGATCCCACCAGCCAGGCACTGCCCTTGAGATGCATCAGTCGCCCCAGGGTACGTGTCCTAGGAGACAAGGTGACTGGGTAGTGCTGAGAGAGGCTCCACTGAGGCACTGGGCACGTTCCCGGCCACCCAATCCAGTCACTGGAGAATCTTGAGGGAGAGGACAGCAGGAGGGAAGGTGGACTGCAACTCGGCTTCTACTCCCAGCACTTCTGACACCAAATGTGGGTGTCAGCCAACCAATTCTCTAGCCTTCCAAACACCAAATGAGTGTTGTACAACCAAATTCAATTCTGACCCTAGCTACCTGGAGTTACAGTCAGATCCCACAGGTTATGGGCTCAGTTTTACAAGGCTTCCCCACTTCAGACGCCAATCACAAGTCCAGGTCTCCCATACTCTAACCATTCACTATAAAGGGGTGGGGCTAATTCCCCTTTCCTCTGGTTTCATAATTTGCTAGAATGGCTCACAGAACTCAGGAAGGCACTTTTTGTTGTTGTTGGAGTTTCACTCTGTCACCCAGGCTGGAGTGCAGTGGCGTGATCTCGGCTCACTGCAACTTCCGCCTCCCAGGTTCATGTTATTCTCCTGCCTCAGCTTCCCCAGCAGCTATAGCTGGGATTGCAGGTATGTACCATCATACCCAGCTAACGTTTTTGTATTTTTAGTAGAGACAGGGTTTCATCATGTTGGCCAGGCTGGTCTTGAACTCTTGACCTCAAATGATCCGCCCACCTCGGCCTCCCAAAGTGCTGGGATTACAGGAGTGGACCACTGTGCCCAGCCGAGGAGGCACTTTACTTGCATGTACCTGGTTATTACAAAGGACACAACTCAGGAACTGCCAAATGGAAGAGATGCTTGGCAAGATATGGGGCTGTGGAAGGGTGTGGAGCTCCACAACTTCTCTGGGCACACCACCCTCCGAGCACCATGATGTTCTCACCAACCGAGAAGTCCTCAGAACCCCTTTGTTTACAGGTTTTTTTAAATGAGGTTCCACTGCCTATGCAAGACTAATTAAATCATTGGCCATTGGTGATTGGCCCAATCTCCAGCCTTTCTCCCCTCCATCAAGGTGGGAGTGGGGGGCCTGAAAGCTCCAGCCTCTCCTCACACGGCTGGCTCCCTGGCAGCCAGCCCTATCCTGAATCTATCTAGGGGCCCATCAAGAGTCACTTTATTACTATAAACTCAGGTGCAGTTTAAAGGGACTTGTTACCAATAATAAAAGACACTGTCATCCCCATCACTGAAATATTCCAAGAGTTTTAGGACCTCTGAACTAGGAGCCCAAGGAGAAAAACCAAACACATATTTCTTCTTATATCATATCACAAGAGAATATGTGGATATTACTTGGCAATAAATTTTATTGGGAGTAGAAAGAGTCAGAAACTTGTTTCTATTTCCACAGTTCCATCTCATTGCAATCACAATGATCAAAGTAAGGTTCGGCTGAGAGAGGAAAGGCAGCCTGAACTGTGCAGCCTGTAAAACACTCACCGGTTTTTGGAGTCGTCCAGCAATGTATAAATTATTCCAGTTGAGGAGATCTTCAATCAGAATACTAGTGCTAATAACTCCATATTTGATAAGCTGAAGGAAAAAAGAAATGGGCACAAAAAGGAGTAAAATACCCTGTTTTTGCTTATACAAGTAGAAATATAAGGAAACATAACATTTTTGACTAGAGCAGTACCTTGGTTACAAAGCCACTCAAAATGCCTGCTTTGCAAAAACATACATCTCCACCAAAACCTTTGAGAGGTTTTAGTGTCCAAGACTGACTTAGCCCCTAAGGTATGTGAGGTGAGGTTGCAACTGCATTCAGAAGATTATAACAGTGAGAGAAGTCTCGTATGGCTGACTCCATCTTGCTGCCAGCCTCACAGGCTGGCTATCCAAGCTCATGCCTGGACATAGGCCAAGCTAACCAAGGGAGGAACATAGTTTATAGTTTAATTTTGAAGCAAGGATGATAATCGTTCCTCCCTAAAACTGTTCCCCTCTCCAGTCCAGAGCTGAAGTTACCTTTGTAAAACTAATGAAAGTCCACAAGATTAGGACTATGAGAAAGGCCTGAATTCTGCAAAAATGTTCGCATAGTTTCTATGATCTCTTACTGCTCAGGAGTCAGGTGTCCGGAGTTCGTAAGACTTGTGACTTCCCCAACTGATCCTATAGATAACATCACTACTGTAGAACTTAAGATTCGTCTTTTGAGGTATTTTTCAGACTTTTGCATTCTGACAACCAACTGATCCCACCCAGACCCATGACTCATGACTCAATTGGTTCTGTTGCCCTTCTGCCACCAAAAGGCCCACTTGGCCCATGAGGACTGTTTTCCACACCTGCATGATTGCATCCCCAACCAATCAGCAGCACCTATTCCCTAGTCCCCTACACCAAACTATTCTTCAAAAACCCTAACTTTCGAGCTTTCAGGAAGAATGATTTGAGTAACAACGCCAGTTCTCCTGTGTGGCTGGCCTCACATTAATGTTAATTTAACTCTTTTTTTTTTTCTTACTCTGTCACCCAGGCTGGAGTGCAGTGGCGCAATCTCAGTTCACTGCAACCTCTGCCTCCTGGGTTCAAGCCATTCTTGCGCCTCAGCCTCCAAGTAGCTGAGATTACAGGTGTGCACCAACATGCACAGCTAATTTTTGTATTTTTAGTAGAGACAAGGTCTTGTCATGTTGGCCAGGTCGAACTCCCGACCTCAGGTGATCCACCCTCCTTGGCCTCCCAAAGTTCTGGGATTATAGGCATAAGCCACCGTGCCCGGCCTAATTAAACTCTTTATGGCAATATTACAGTAGTGCCAGTCAACCGCAGGAAGAATCCATCAGGCAATTATAAGGTGACCACTATTTCAACTTAGGTCCATGTTATGTTAAAGATGGAATGGCTCTTAGATGCTATCTAGTACTGGTCCTCAATGGATTGGGAGTAAAAAAACCTGGTTTCTCCCCAAAGACAGTTTGAGAAGTGATGATGTAGTTCATGTTCGTCATTTCAGAAATAGAAAACCTGAAGCCCAGAGAGAACAAATGACATGTTCAAGGTGGTACCAGCAGTAACAGAGTTAAAACTAGGTCCCAGAATTTCAGTCTGGTCTTCCAAATGCTCTTTTCGTTACAAAGTACAAGAAATTTTCCTTTAATTAAAAGTTTTCACTGACATCCTTTTACATAGTGAATTTCTCTTTTGCTACCGACTATTTCAAACACTTTTATAATTACAAAGCAACATCCAAAACCAAAACTTCTTTATTCACGCTAAACACATGAAATTATAGTTGAGCCCATTTCTATTCTTTTTTTTGTTTGTTTTTGAGACAGGGTCTTACTCTATTGCCCATGCTGGAGTGCAGCAGCATGATTTGGGCTCAATGCAGCCCTGAACTCCCTGGGCTCCAGTGATCCTCCCACCTCAGTCTGTGGAGTAGCTGGAACTACAAGCACGCACCATCATGCCTGGTTAATTTTTGTATTTTTTGTAGAGACAGAGTTTCACCATATTGCCCAGGCTGGTCTTGAACTCCTGGGCTCAAGTGATCCACCCACCCTGGCCTCCCAAAGTGCTAGGATTATAGGCATGAGCTGCTGTGCCTGGCCAGTTAAGCCTATTTCAATAATAATTTGTATAAATCCTGAATGTAGATCTCCCAGGTTACAAAGTCCCATTTGCATAAACAAGTATCTTTAGACCCACTTTGCTGAACTTCAGTATCCAAATAGCTTTCTCAGGCTGCAAATATACAAAAAGCAGCTAAAGTGTCAATTAGACTGGGCGCAGTGGCTCACGCCTATAATCCCAGTACTTTGGGAGGCCAAGGCGGGCAGATCTCGGGGTTAGGAGATCGAGACCATCCTGGCCAACATGGTGAAACCCTGTCCCTACTAAAAATACAAAAATTAGCTGGACATAGTGCTGCATGCCTGTAATCCCAGCTACTCAGGAGGCTGGGGCAAGAGAATCACTTGAACCAGGGAGTTGGAGGTGCCGTGAGCTGGAGGTTGCCGTGAGCTGAGATCGCGCCACTGCACTCCAGCCTGGTGACAGAGCAAGACTATGTCTTAAAAAAAAAAAAAAAAAAAAAAAAGTCAATTAAAAAGTATAGTATTTTGGCATATAATTATGCCCAAACATCTGGTTACTATAACTTATAATATTGCTTGAAAATTACTAATTAAAGATAGGCTCCACATCATATTAACTGTGGAGAAACAACAAAGCTAAGTGTTCTGCATGACTCAAGTGGATGTAGAAGGCTGTGCTGAGTGTCAGCCTTTTTTCCCCAACTCCAGCAGCAGCACCCCAAAAAGCCCTTATAGCAAGTTACTGGGAAGTAACGGAAACACCACAAGCCTGGAAGTCAGGCGACCTGTCGCTAACTAGCTGCGCGACCTTATGGAAGTCATTTCTCTCTTTGAACTTCAGTTTCCTCAACTGCAAAATGCAGCAGAGCAAGGTTGGACCTCAACCAGAAAAGCAAATACATGGCCCAAGAGGTATGCAGACATCACCAGTCAATCACAACAGTCACTTCTCAGCCAAGTTCAGACAGACCTTCAAATCCTTCTCAAGTCAGTACTCCAACCTCCTGCCCTTTAAAGCATGGTCCTTTAACCAGTGGCATCGGCATCACCTGGGAACTTATAAAAAATGCAGAATCTTGGCTGGGCATGGCAGCTCATACTGTAATCCCAGTACTTTGGGAGGCCAAGGTGGGTGGATTGTTTGGGGTAAGGAGTTTTGAAACCAGCCTGGGCAACATGGCAAAACCCTGTCTCTACAAAAAAAATACAAACACTAACCAGGCATAGTGGCACATACCTGTAGTCCTAGCTACTCAGAAGGCTGAGGTGGGAGGATGGCTTGAGCTCAGGAGGCAGAGGCTGCAGTGAGCCAAGATGACACCACTGCATTCCAGCTGAGTGACACAGCCAGACCCTCTTTCAAAAAAAGAAAAAGAGAAAAAAAAAAAAGCAGAATCTCAGGTTCCATCCCAGACTGAGTCAGGATCTGCATTTAATGGAATCCCCAGGTGGTTCGATGCCTGTCAAAGTTTGACTGCTCTGAGCAATCAGTGGCAGAGCTGGCACAGCAAGTGGAATCCATATGTCATCCCTGGCCCAGGGAAGCTCTAGGAAGCATCTGATTTAGACCCCTACTGGTCCTGGCAGGCTGGGGTTCTGCTGAACTCTTGGCAGCTCTCTTAGAGACTGAGATGCTTCAGCCATTAAGAGTTCAGCAAAGTTTCTGCTGTCAAATGACCCATAAGCAGGAATCCATGCAACTTACCTGCTCTCCAACACCCCACTGTCAAATTCCACCCATCTGCTGGCACCAGGAGGTTCCTGTCTATCACGTGGCACCACATGCTTCTAATCACCTGTGATATCCTCTTCACTTCCAACTTCTTCCTGGGGGTGTCTGCCCCTCCTTCTAGATAAAATCAATCTCCAACCTGACCCTAAATTGGCCTGCCTATTCCTCCCACTGACCAGACTAGTAGTTCTAGACCAGCAGATTCAACACTGTTTGGAAGCTTGTGAAGAGATGCAAATCTTCATGCTCCACCCCAGACCTAGTGATCAGAACTCTGGGGGTGGGGCCCAGCAATCTCTGTGTCCAACAGGCACACACTCTAGGGGATTCTGATGCACATTATACTTGAGAACCACCTGGCCAAAGACAAAAAAAATGAAGTTAGTCTGGCCAGGCTCAGGGGCTCACACCTATAATCCCAGCACTTTGGGAGGCCAAGGCGGTTGGGTCACCTGAGGTCAGAAGTTCGAGACCAGCCTGGCCAACATGGTGAAACCCTGTCTCTACTGAAAACACAAAAATTAGCTGGGCATGGTGGCACACCCCTGTAATCCCAGCTAACTGGGAGGCAGGAGAAATCACTTGAACCCACAAGGCAGAGGTTGCAGTGAGCAGAAATCGCGCCACTGCACTCCAGCCTGGGCGAGAAGAACAAAGCTCCATCTCAAAAAATAAAGTCAGTCACACCCAACCACCTCCTCACACTGCAATCACAGTTAATGGGAGATGTGGAAGGACTCCAGTCACTGCTCTGTACCTAAGTTCAAGACATCTAGCAGGAATGTGAATGTTTCCTGACTATAAGAGCATACATATTTAGCTGGCATTCTAATAATCCAGGTTAATAACCAGCTAAGTTAAGGCAAAGGCCAGCAGTCACTTACCCTACCATCACACATGATCAATGAATTGTAGTACACTCCAGCGCCATAGTTATTCTGGATGGATGTGATAAACTTGGGTCCTAAAACTTTTAGGAAAGAATAGTGGTTCCAATTTTTCTTCAGGTTCTTTGAATGCCATGCAACAGGGTCATCTACTGTGAACACAAAGTCCAGCATAGCGTTCTGTGAAGAAAAGAGAACAATTTCAGTATTAATTCCTAGAAAGACAGTGAGACAGCATGGAAAGCTCTAACACACTATGCAATTATGATCAATAGTCAGAGGGCCTCGTGCTGTCATCAGAAAAGTATGTGAGTCTCTGGAACTAATCTGAGCTTTGTTTTCATCAATGCAATAATAATAAAGACTTCTTTAACATGTATTGTTGGGCCAACATTCTTTAAACGCTTTATGGATAATATATGTAGTAACTCATTTTATCCTCAACAAAACCCTACAAGGTAGCTACTGCTGCTATTATCTCCTTTTTTTTTTTTTTTTTTTGAGACAGAGTTCCGCTCTGTCACCCATGCTGGAGTGCAACGGCACGATCTCGGCCCACTGCAACCTCTACTTCCTGGATTCAAGTGATTCTCCTGCCTCAGTCTCCTGAGTAGCTGGGATTACAGGTGCACGCCACCATGCCTGGCTAATTTTTGTATTTTTAGTAGAGACAGGGTTTCACCATATTGGTCAGGCTGGTCTTGAACTCCTGACCTCATGATCCGCCCATCTCAGTCTCCCAAAGTGCTGGGATTACTGGCATAAGCCACCACGTCTGGCCTTATTATTTCAATTTTATAGGAAACCAAGGCACAGGGGATGCTCTTTCCCCAAGGACACACAGCTTGCGAGTGGCAGACCTGAGTAGTCTGGCTCTAAATTGTGTGTGCTGAACCACTGCACTACACTGCCTTCCACAAATACAGCTAAATGTACTCCCCTTTTTTTCCAGATCAAATTAACACCATTTGGATAAACTCTGAAATATTATACAAAAGGAAGGAGGTCATTTTCTCTCTTACTGATTCACCAACCACTCATTGGTTACTTATAATAAGCTCTGACAGGCCCTAGGGTAGAAGAAAAGAGCTTGGAGTCTACTGGAGAGAATAAACAAATTATCACTAAATTGACTTGATAGAGGAATGTAAAATGTACTAACTGCACTCAGAATGGGGATCAAATCAGGAGCACAGGAGGGAGACATTCTCCTAGAGATGACATATCTGAGTCTTGAAGGACATGTGGGCTAAACAGGCTTGCTGGAAGCACTGGGGGAGGCACAGGGAAGGAAGGGTAGGGAGTCGTGTTGGAGGAAAGCGCTCTGTGGATATGGGAGCCAGCATGTTCTGGAAGCTGCAGTTTGATACGACTGAAATAGATCACATTTATGCCGTGGGAGATGAGATCAGAAAGGGAAGCTGTTTGCCATGCTAGAAAATTTTCCTGCAGAAGAGCTGACTGGAGAGAGACTAAGGGGGTGGGGAAAACTAGATCTGAAGCCATGGCAGGATTCCAGGTGAGAAACGAAGTGATATTAGCTAAGGCACTAAGGGTGAGGATTGATGTGAGAGAGATTTAGGCGTTGGAATCTACAAGACTTGTTCACTTGAATGTAGGGAATCAAAAGTGAGGGAAAGGGAAGGAAGGACCTTTTCTTGCAGGGAATTCCAGGTCTACTCAAAGGAAAACTTCCATGGAAGAATGAAGAGGTGGCCATCAGGAGGCTAAGGCCTGCTCTGTGTTTCCCACCGGGTGACTCACAGACCACTGGGACACTTAAGATTTGGTGGCAAGGGGGGTATGGGATCAACATATTTTTTAAAAATGTGTAATTATGTTAAGGTATATTGGAAAAAAAGTAGCCTATAATAACCTATAATTTCACATATGCTGCCAATTTAAATAAAAATATTAAATAGTAGCATAAGTGGGAAACAGAGGAAATCCAAGCAACAGCATAGATGGCCTCACCAGGAAGTGAACAGGCAGAATGTTAATCATAAGACAGACTACAGCCAAGTATGCAGATGCGGGGGTCCCAATTAAAACCTGCACACTGAATTCTGCAAATAACAAAGAAAACTGTACCCTTACTGAGGCTGCACTGACCTAACTCTGAAGAGTAACAATGCCTAGTCTCAAACAGACCCTTGTTAAATGTGCTGAGCGACGGTAAATATACTGGTCGCGCACTAACTTTTGCTGTTAGTTACTTTCACTGTACCTGCCCTGGCCCTACAACCAGTCCGCAACTTTCTGAAGTCAAATCATTTTGCATTTTCTCCCACAGTTATAGAGGTGACTCTCAACAAACTTGGCTGCGCATTAGAATCACTTAGGACGTTTCTTAAATTCCTGAAGCCCAGGCCTCATTCCAAACCAATTAAATCAGAATCTCCATCGACGGAACCCGAGCATTAGGATTTTCCGAAAAGCTCCCCAGAAAATTCCGATGTCCAGCCGACTGAAAACACCGAACTAGAAAGTGATAACGATTTTTTCTTTTCTTCCACTTGCCCCTGCAGCGGCTTTTCCCCCTGCCTAATTGTTTCTCCTGCTCTAGACCCACGTGGATTCCTAAGTATCCCTCATTACTGCCTTCAACTCGCGCCCTCGTTATTAGGAACGCAGGCCTAAGGTTCACTCTGCTAGTTGACATGTGGAGTGTGCAGAGCGGACAGGCAGCTCTCCAGCTCTGAAGGAATCGAGGGCAAAATGGGACTCGTGAGAACAGTCAGCTCCCCGTTGTGGGGCTGTCAGGGGCTGACGGGGGCTGTCCGGGGAGGGGCCGGGCTGTGGGATTGGGCTCACCTTCTGGTCTGAATTGGGCCCTGCCTGGCGGTACACCCCAGAGCCGTAGGCGAAAGCCAGACTCAGCTCCTCGGGGAAGTGAGACAGGATCCTGCGAAAGGTCACCCCCGAGCTCTGCAGCGCCTGCAGCGCCATGGGGTCGAGGCTGACAGGGGACCCTCGGCACAGCAGGGCGAGGACAACCGAGCGGGAACAGACCCAGCAGGCGGTTTAGGGTGGGAAATGGAAGTCGGAGACCGGCTCGAGGAACACAAGGCTGAGTGTGGGGTGGGACTGCAAGGACGGGCAAGGACTGGGGCGCTGGGTCACGAAAAGCAAGAGCCCGGAAGGCGCTGCCCAGTTGGGCTCAGGTGGGTGGCGATCGTGCCGGCCGAGCTTCCGTCCTTAGCTACGCCCCACGCACACGCGCTTCCAAGACGTAAGAGGCGGTGTTCGCCTTAATGTAGGGAACGCGAGAGCTTTGCATTGACCCCTCGTGGTCGGTGGAGTGCACTGCAGGTTGGCGGCTTTCGTTACGACTTGGACAAATGCGCGGAGCCGAGCATCACCCGACCCCGCGGCCCCTGAGCCTTGATCTCTGTACTTCTCTCTTCAAATCACAGTTTAAGGAATGACTATAAAATCGTGAGCGTATTGAAGGTTTTTAAATGAGGCGACACTCACATAGAACTAACGTTTTTAAATGAGGGGACACTTACATAATATAGAACTAACGTTCTGAAATGGACGGTATAGTAGCATCTAGTACCTTCACAATATTGTGCGACCATCATCTCTCTAGTTCCAAATTTGCAGATTTTGAAGATTTAGAAAAACACAAAATTAAAATGATGCGCAATCCCACCATGGGGAGATAGCACCGTCAAGATCTGACCAAGACTTCTTCGCGTTAAAGCCCTTTTCAAATACAAGCGTGGATATAGGAGTGCGTGGTAAAGGACTACACAGACGTTCTCCGATAGTTGCATTTAATTTCAAGGGTGGATAAGAGTTTTCGTCCCCTGGCCTTGGGGATTGGTCTCACAAAGGGTGCTTCATACAGTTTCTGGAGGAAACGGGACCCTAGGAGTGGAAAAATCTTAGAGCTCTCGTCTTTTTTTGTCTGTATCTAGAGAAACTTGCTGAAGATTACCGGTGATTCAGGAGGTGGTTCGACCTTCAGGACAGAAACGTTCAGCTACTCTCTCCTTCCTTCCCAACATACACTACCTCTCAAAAACAATAGCTAACATTTAGGTCATGTTGACACATTTTCACATGCACTTCTCATTGGGTCCCCTCTAGTGCTCTGTGACAGAAGCACCTTGGTTTCACAGCCAGCCAGCCTAAGGCTTAGATCTGTAAAGCCAGGTGCTTAAGATCATATCAGTCTGCAGCAAAACTAGAGCTAAACCGAGCTCTAGCTCCACCTCTGGGATTTTTTTTGAAAATTCTGCCCTATCCTTGAAAGGTTTTGAGCAGGGACTTACGTGATTCACATGTTATCCTGAACTGGGGAGACCAATTAGACAGTTTTTATCATAGTTCCCTTGTGAACTGGAAACGGCCAGGCCAAGGTCTTAGAAGCAGGGATGGGATTAATTCAATTGGAAAAAATGATTACTTGCACTCACACTCTGGGTCTGCACTGAGATAAAGAGATCTGAACTGCCTGCTGCCTTGCAGGAGCTCAGGGTCTCTAGAGCAGAGGAGATAGACCTGCAAATCAGAATAGAATTTGGGTAATGCAGCCCGGCACCCAGCACAGTGCAGGAATGTCCTGTCCCTCCAATGGGAACGTCGGTCAATTCTGGGTGTTCAGGAAACGGACCAGAGGAGATTTCACAGTGATGGCATTTTGAGCCAGGCCTGGAAGCTGAGTAGGAGTTTATCAGGTGGAAAATAGATGGGAAAGAGTCTACCAAGAAAGAATTGATAGGACTCAGTGACAACAACAACAGTAATAATAGTGTCATTTATTAAGCACTTACTACTCCCAGGCACTTTTTATCCTTTTTTTTTGAGACAGAGTCTTGCTTTGTTGCCCAGGCTGGAGTGCAGTGCCACAATCTCAGCTCACTGTGACCTTCATCTCCTGGATTCAAGCAAGCATGCCTGGCTAATTGTTGTATTTTCAGTAGAGACAGTGTTTCATTATGTTGGCCAGGCTGGTCTCAAACTCCTGACCCCAGGTGGTTTGTGATTTGCCCACCTCAGCCTCCCAAAGTGCTGGGATTACAGGCGTGAGCCACTGTGCCCAGGCTTTTTATACTTATTTCTTTTCATCACTCCAAAAACCCTATGAGGCAGGTTCTCTAAGATTATGATGTTTTTCATATGAGGAAACAGAGGTGGTAAAAAGAGCAGTATATGTTCCAAAGTCGCACAGGAAAGTGGTGAAGTCTAGGTTTGAATCCAGAGCTACCTGCCTCTAAAGGCCAAGGTCTTTACCACGATGTTTAAGTGCCCTCTAGAGCAGCTTGCAGGCTGAGAGAAGGAAATGGGAAGAAAGCTGGCTGTCAGGCACCAGCCAAGGTTCAGGAGCAGCAGCAGTAGCCACAACATTAAGCAGGAGACCAGGGCAAGGGAGCGAAGAGAGGCTGTGTGTCTGCATCCCCTGGTGTGGGCAGGGCCATTTCTGCTCATTTTCACTGCAGATCACCCTTGCCCAGGGTGCCGGAATCAGACTGTACTCACCATGGAATTACACTGAAGCCTCTCACCCAAAGACAGTGAATAAATCCCATTACCAGCCGGATCCTTTTGGATTCCCTTCCTTCCTTGGAGAAACAATTCAACTTTGTTGGATTTTTTCCTGTTTGCAAAAGTAATCCATGTTCATAAAAATGTAAACATTATGAAATACATCCATCATCCCCCAGAAATAGCCACTGGTAATGTTTGGCACTTATTCCTTCAGATATTTTTCTATGAATATATTAACATTCAAAACAATTTTAAGTAGACTCCTAGGATAGATACTATTTTGCAATTTGCTCTTTTTGCACTTAGCATATCAGGGACAATGAATGTTCGGTGTCAGAATATATAGATTTCCCTCATTCCATGTGTTAGTAGCAAATTATTCTAAAATACGGAAATGCCATAATTTATTTAAATATTTTCTTTGTCTTTCTTTCCTTCTTTTTCTTTTTTGAGACTGAATCTCACTCTGTCACCCAGGCTGGAGTGCAGTGTCACGATCTCAGCTCACTGCAACCTCTGCCATCTGAGTTCAAGCGATTCTCCTGCCACAGCCTCCTGAGTAGCTGGGATTACGGGTGTCTGCCACCACACCCAGCTAATTTTTGTATTTTTAGCAGAGTCAGGGTTTCACTGTGTTGGCCAGGCTGGTCTGGAACTCCTGACGTTCAAGTGATCTGCCCGCCTTGGCATCCTCAGAGTGCTGGGATTACAGGCGTGAGCTACTGCTCCCAGTCTGTTTAAACATTTAATTGTTGATGGATGTAGGGTATTTCTAGTTTTCACACCTGCAAACTATGCTGTCACAAGCATCCTTGTACATTTTTTGTGCATATGCAAGTATTGCTGTAAGGTAGATTCCTAGAAGGGGAATTGCTGGGTCAAAGTGTCAGCACACAGATAAATTCCCCTCCAAAAGATGGTGCCAATTCACACACCCACCAGCCGGGTTCAGCCCTTGATAGAAAGAAAGATTCTGCAATGTTTCTCTATTTGTCTCCCAGGCGTTCACACCCAATTATCAGCAGTTTTCATTTTCACAAACACTTTTCTTCCTGCAATGCAAAACCACCAGCTGGAAGTTTCCATCACATTCCTGTGTGCATTTTGCTTTTCCCCAGAAAGAGGCAGAAGCAATGTAGCCATGAACGCATTTGTATTCTTCAGCTGAAATCTCCTACTCCTAGCCCTTCACCCACTCTCTTTTAAATTACCATGGCTTGCAAAATTAGAGGCTATTAGGAAGCCCCAGTGTTCTGTATAATTGCTTTAGGGTTCTGTTGGAAAGCTTATACCAATGAAATAAACATGTTAGCCACTTACGAATGTAGATAAATGCCCCGGGACTTGAGTATTGGGCCCCATTCTTCTCCTTTATCTAGCAGTTGTCTTTCTATTCCTTAATAATGACCTTGTCAGGGAAACTGTCATTAGGAGAAGTTTCATCTGATCCATTTTTTTTTAAAGCCCCATTTAAAAAAAATGTCTGTAACTTTAACGCTTTTTTTTTTTTTTTTTCTAATCAGTGTTTAAGTACAGGAGAGAAAAATGTTTGAGGGGGAAAAATCCAGGCTCAGTGGTTCTTACAATTAGCCACATGTTCAACTGATCTGCTGATGGAGGGGAAGGAGAGGGGTCTTGATCTCCAACTTGGCAGAGGAGGGTCACCCTGTCCCATCTGTCCATTGTCAGCTGTTCGTTGGATCAAAACTGGGCCAGACTGGGAGCATCTTTTTGATCTTTCTTTCTTTCTTTCCTCCTTCCCTTCCTTTCTTCCTTCCCTCCCTTCTTCCCTTCCCTCCCCTCCCTTCCTCCTTCCCTCCCTCCATCCCTCCTTCCTTCCTTCCTTCCTGCCTGCCTGCCTGCCTGCCTTCCTTCCTTCTTCGAGACAGGATCTCACTCTGTCACTCAGGCTGGAGTGCAGTGGCATGATCTAGGCTCATGGTAACATCTACCTCTCAGGCTTGAGTGGTCCTCTCACCTCAGCCTCCTGAGTAGCTGGGATTACAGGTATGTAATCCCACACCTGGCTAATTTTTGTATTTTTATAGAGAATGGGATTTCACCATGTTGCTCAGGCTGGTCTCGAACTCCTGGTTCGAACACTCCACCCACCTAGGGCGCCCAAAGTGCTGTGATTATAGGTGTGAACCACTATGCACCCCCGACTGGGAGCACTTAATACATCTTTAGTGTCTGATGAGGGGCTCAGAGGTACCACTTGGGTTGGAATCCAGGCCAGGATTTAATAGCTGTGTGGCCTTGGACAAGATGACTTAGCTTCTCTGTGCTTTCTTTTTCTCATCTGTAACCTGGGGAGAGTAATGACATCTTACTCACAGGGTTGTGGTGACAGTAAATGAAATAGTATCTGGAAAATACATGGAATAGTGCCTGAAGTAAGCTTTCAATAAACAGAGAACATCCTCCTGAACTCTTAAGAGACAATGTATAAAAGGAATTAAGAAGCATAATTATACCTACGTCTTTATGGCATTTAGCATTTTACACAAAGCACTTTCCAGACATGATTTTATTTAGTTATTAAAACAAATCCTGGGAAATGATTGTCTATTATTTCAGTTTTACAGATGGATAAACTGAAGCTTAGAAAAAAGAAGTGATTTACCTGAAGTCACAGGGCTAATGGCAGCTAGTAGTACAGCCTCCAAGACCAATCCCTTTCCTCTTGCATGAGAAAAATAACACTAGGTGTTCATTTCACCGAGA